TTTTATAGAAAATTTTCGATAAATTCTCTTTTTATAAAAAATTTTCGATAAATTCTCTTTTTATAGAAAATTTGCGATAAATTCTCTTTTTATAAAAAATTTTCGATAAATTCTCTATTTATAGAAAATTTTCGATAAATTCTCTATTTATAGAAAATTTTTGATAAATTCTCTTTTTATAGAAAATTTTCGATAAATTCTCTTTTTATAGAAAATTTTCAATAAATTCTCTTTTTTTATAGAAAATTTTCGATAAATTCTCTTTTTTTATAGAAAATTTTCGATAAATTCTCTTTTTTTATAGAAAATTTTCGATAAATTCTCTTTTTTTATAGAAAATTTTCGATAAATTCTCTTTTTATAGAGAATTGAAATGAAATCCTATTTTATAGAAATTTCGAAAATCTATTTTTATAGTGAAATCTCTATAAACATCTACCAATCAGTTCATATCTTTCAATTGCCTATCCACCATAATCTTTGTAATTAAATATTTGATATGTCTGATCAATTGTAAATCGCATTTAAATATAGAAATTCTTTAGTTCAGTAATTTTTGTATGGTTTTATTTGTTGCCTTTTGATTGATTTTAATGACTTAACGAGACTATTTACAGTCCAGAATGGAAGCATAAGACGCACTCAAAAAGAAACATTTGTGATCCCATTGCAAAATTTCGAAAAAAGGGGAGAAATAAAAAGAATAAAGTTGTTTTGGGGTGCAATGAAGCAATTGCTGTTGTTACTTTATCTTCTTCTTATTGGGTCTTTTGCAATCACATTAAACAATTCTTATGCTTCCAACATGTACTCAGGCCACATTACATGGCATTACATTCTTTTGTGAATTTGTGACTTTAACGCTAAACGATTAAATGAAAATCATGTAAAGAGTGTGTTCACACAACACAACTTAAACAGCTTAACAAAATAACAACAACAACAAAAAGAACAACAGCAGCAACTAGAAAAAAGGGGGAGAAGAAGATGAGGAGAAAGAAAACAGCAACTAAAACTACAACTACATCAATGATGTGGTAAATGAAAAAGCCTCAAGTGTCAAATGTCAAATGTCAAGTAATCTGCACTTAATCATACTCAAAGCATTATAAGTGTTTTTTGTTGTTGTTGTTGCAGCAGTTACATGCCACATACGTACATACATATGTACGTACTTACATATGTATGTATGTATGTATTGAGATACGCATGTTTTACATAAACATACGCATTTAACAGAGAATATTCCCATCAGTTTTGCCTGAAGTTGAGGCATCCTTTTCAGAGAATATTATTTTCTAAATGTTTGCTAAGAATTGTAATCAATCCTTTATTGTCCCTGGGTAAACTAGAGTGTAAACACCTTAACGTATTTTTGAGTTGTAGCTTAGCAAGCAGTTATTTTACACACCAGATTAGTATATTCCTTCTAGTACTGTAACCAGTTAATTTTGTAACTATTAACATAAATCGTAGTTTAGAACATCTACAAGGAACTGCAGGGTTTTAAAGACTAAATATGCTGAATAATTAATAGCGAAGGGAACTTTATTTAAAGTATAGTTTTTGTTCGTTATAATCACAGTTTAAATTAAAAAGGGACCCCTTTTATAGATTGTTTCAATCATAGAGTGGCGCTTAGTTTAATTTTCAGTCTGAGTGATTAGTTTGAATAAACAGTTTTCAGCTTCATTTGCATTGTTCGACTTTGGCAAGAACATAACTACATAAATATTCTTTTTATAGAACATCTTCTTTTCATAGAAAATGATCGAAAAATTGTTCGTTTTATACAAAATTTTGCATAAATTTTCATTTTTTATAGAAATTTTTCGTTAAATGTTCTTTTATATACTACTAGGCTATAGACTAGACTATAGATTAGACTATAGACTAGACTATACACTAGACTATAGACTAGATATAGACTAGACTATAGACAAGACTATAGACAAGACTATAGACTAGACTATAGACTAGACTATAGACTAGACTATAGACTAGACTATAGACTAGACTATAGACTAGACTATAGACTAGACTATAGACTAGACTATAGACTAGACTATAGACTAGACTATAGACTAGACTATAGACTAGACTATAGACTAGACTATAGACTAGACTATAGACTAGACTATAGACTAGACTATAGACTAGACTATAGGCTAGACTATAGACTAGACTATAGACTAGACTATAGACTAGACTATAGACTAGACTATAGACTAGACTATAGACTAGACTATAGACTAGACTATAGACTAGACTATAGACTAGACTATAGACTAGACTATAGACTAGACTATAGACTAGACTATAGACTAGACTATAGACTAGACTATAGACTAGACTATAGACTAGACTATAGACTAGACTATAGACTAGACTATAGACTAGACTATAGACTAGACTATAGACTAGACTATAGACTAGACTATAGACTAGACTATAGACTAGACTATAGACTAGACTATAGACTAGACTATAGACTAGACTATAGACTAGACTATAGACTAGACTATAGACTAGACTATAGACTAGACTATAGACTAGACTATAGACTAGACTATAGACTAGACTATAGACTAGACTATAGACTAGACTATAGACTAGACTATAGACTAGACTATAGACTAGACTATAGACTAGACTATAGACTAGACTATAGGCTAGACTATAGACTAGACTATAGACTAGACTATAGACTAGACTATAGACTAGACTATAGACTAGACTATAGACTAGACTATAGACTAGACTATAGACTAGACTATAGACTAGACTATAGACTAGACTATAGACTAGACTATAGACTAGACTATAGACTAGACTATAGACTAGACTATAGACTAGACTATAGACTAGACTATAGACTAGACTATAGACTAGACTATAGACTAGACTATAGACTAGACTATAGACTAGACTATAGACTAGACTATAGACTAGACTATAGACTAGACTATAGACTAGACTATAGACTAGACTATAGACTAGACTATAGACTAGACTATAGACTAGACTATAGACTAGACTATAGACTAGACTATAGACTAGACTATAGACTAGACTAGACTATAGACTAGACTATAGACTAGACTATAGACTAGACTAGACTATAGACTAGACTATAGACTAGACTATAGACTAGACTATAGACTAGACTATAGACTAGACTATAGACTAGACTAGACTATAGACTAGACTATAGACTAGACTATAGACTAGACTATAGACTAGACTATAGACTAGACTAGACTAGACTATAGACTAGACTATAGACTAGACTATAGACTAGACTAGAGACTAGACTATAGACTAGACTATAGACTAGACTATAGACTAGACTATAGACTAGACTATAGACTAGACTATAGACTAGACTATAGACTAGACTATAGACTAGACTATAGACTAGACTACTAGACTATAGACTAGACTATAGACTAGACTATAGACTAGACTATAGACTAGACTATAGACTAGACTATAGACTAGACTATAGACTAGACTATAGACTAGACTATAGACTAGACTATAGACTAGACTATAGACTAGACTATAGACTAGACTATAGACTAGACTATAGACTAGACTATAGACTAGACTATAGACTAGACTAGACTAGACTATAGACTAGACTATAGACTAGACTATAGACTAGACTATAGACTAGACTATAGACTAGACTATAACTAGACTATAGACTAGACTATAGACTATACTATAGACTAGACTATATAAAATTTTCGTTAAATTTTCATTAGAAAAGTTTGGCTAAATTTTTTTTTATAGAAAATTTTCGATTAGTTTTTATATTTTAAACAAATTTTCCAAAAATTTTATAAATTCTCTTTAAAAAAGTTCCAAAAGGTTTGTATGTAAGTATAGAAAACGCTAAGTTCTCTAGTAATAGAACATTTTCCATAAATTCTCTATTTATAGAAAATTAAACAGTTGCCCTAAATATTTCTGAATGACCTTTGACTCTCAGCTTAACGGAAATATTATTTACTAACTAATAGTAAATAATCATCCATTAAAACAACTTAGAATATCTACAACATCTTGTTGTCGACCATTTAAAAAGAGCTGTTAATACAATTGTTTACATTTCCAGTTTATTTAAGATCTTTGCAATGCTTAACAGCTTCAAATTTCCTGTACAAGTGTCTGGTTAACAAAACCGCAAAAACAAAACAAACAACTATTGTAGTTATTTAGATATTTTGTATAAACAAATATCCGACTGAATGTAATGATGATGATGAGTGCATATTGTTTTACCTATTTTTTCTCCCTTTCGATTTGATGAGATCTCCACATTTTAAGTTACAAGCTGAAATAATGGTTAAATTGAAACCACAAAGAAAATTTTTTAAATATTGTAGATAAAAGTGTTCTCCAACATATACATACATAGATGAGGAGATATGTATGTGTACTTAGGAACGAATTTATTTCAGGTAAACTTATACTACTTATAGATAATACTATAATCATGCAGTATTTATCTAGCTTAATATTTTCTTTATAATAAAAAAAAAGGTTAAATATTTTGTGCAAAATATAAGAAAAGGCGAAATTTTCCTTTATCTACCTTTTTTGGGGTTTTGACGAAATTTTGCAAGTAAATGAGCAAAAAATTGTATAAATAAATTTTGTGCTTGAATGTTTTAGGGAAGAAAACAATAAGAAAAAATATAAATAGATTTATATTATATAAATACATTAAGGTAATTCATAAAAATATGTTTGCAACATTAGCAAATGCAATATTTTATTTCTTTTTTAAGCAAAAAAATTAATTTCCATTTTGTAAAATTTAAAAATTTATAAGAAAAGTAAAAAATAAATAACTTTAGCTATGAACCACCCTAATACACACATAGTATATATGTATTATATCCACTTAAGTGCTAGAAAAGTATATGTTTTTTTATATTCAATGACAATATTATTCAATTTAAACTTAAACGTATAATTTTTCCTTTTAGGATTTTATCGCAACTTTAAAACAACAGCAAAATCTTTTCGAACAACAGCTTTCTTATATTTATGTAAGTAGATTTTCCTTTTTTGTTTAATATTTTTTAATATGTTTCTCTAGTTTTAACAACTTTTACTGTTTATATATTTTCTCGAAAAAAGTTAGGAACATGAAAAAATTTACCTTTTAGCGTTAAAAAATGCTAAAAAGAAAGTAAAGTACTTCAGCATATTCATTTAATTAAAGCGGTTAAAATTTAGCAAAATCTTTTTTCTCTTCAACGCTTTTTCTTAATATTCAAAATTTTGTTTTTGTACAAAAAAAATGTATCCTAGTAAGGTAAAGAGAAATTAAATACAGAGAAATTTTCTTAGATAAATTATGTAAAATAAGTTTAACCATGATTTTAAATTAATAATAAATAAATAGTCTATAGTATAGTTTATAGTCTAGTCTATAGTCTATTCTATAGTCTAGTCTATAGTCTAGCCTATAGTCTAGTCTATAGTCTAGCCTATAATCTAGTCTATAATCTAGTATATAGTCTATTCTATGTCTAGCCTCTAGTCTAGTCTATAGTCTAGTCTATAGTCTAGTCTATAGTCTAGTCTATAGTCTAGTCTATAGTCTTAGTCTATAGGTCTAGTCCTATAGTCTAGTCTATAGTCCGAGTCTATAAGTCTAGTCTATAGTCTAGTCTATAGTCTAGTCTATAGTCTAGTCTATAGTCTAGTCTATAGTCTCGTCTATAGTCTAGTCTATAGTCTAGTCTATAGTCTAGTCTATAGTCTAGTCTATAGTCTAGTCTATAGTCTAGTCTATAGTCTAGTCTAGTCTTAGTCTAGTCTATAGTCTAGTCTATAGTCTAGTCTATAGTCTAGCTATAGTCTAGTCTATAGTCTAGTCTATAGTCTAGTCTATAGTCTAGTCTATAGTCTAGTCTATAGTCTAGTCTATAGTCTAGTCTATAGTCTAGTCTATAGTTTAGTCTATAGTCTAGTCTATAGTCTAGTCTTAGTCTAGTCTATAGTCTAGTCTATAGTCTAAGTCTATAGTCTAGTCTATAGTCTAGTCTATAGTCTAGTCTATAGTCTAGTCTATAGTCTAGTCTATAGTCTAGTCTATAGTCAGTCTATAGTCTAGTCTATAGTCTAGTCTAATAGTCTAGTCTATAGTCTAGTCTATAGTCTAGTCTATAGTTAGTCTATAGTCTAGTCTATAGTCTAGTCTATAGTCTAGTCTATAGTCTAGTCTATAGTCTAGTCTATAGTCTAGTCTATAGTCTAGTCTATAGTCTAGTCTATAGTCTAGTCTATAGTCTAGTCTATAGTCTAGTCTATAGTCTAGTCTATAGTCTAGTCTATAGTCTAGTCTATAGTCTAGTCTATAGTCTAGTCTAAAGTCTAGTCTATAGTCTAGTCTATAGTCTAGTCTATAGTCTAGTCTATAGTCTAGTCTATAGTCTAGTCTATAGTCTAGTCTAGTCTATAGTCTAGTCTATAGTCTAGTCTATAGTCTAGTCTATAGTCTAGTCTATAGTCTAGTCTATAGTCTAGTCTATAGTCTAGTCTATAGTCTAGTCTATAGTCTAGTCTATAGTCTAGTCTATAGTCTAGTCTATAGTCTAGTCTATAGTCTAGTCTATAGTCTAGTCTATAGTCTAGTCTATAGTCTAGTCTATAGTCTAGTCTATAGTCTAGTCTATAGTCTAGTCTATAGTCTAGTCTATAGTCTAGTCTATAGTCTAGTCTATAGTCTAGTCTATAGTCTAGTCTATAGTCTAGTCTATAGTCTAGTCTATAGTCTAGTCTATAGTCTAGTCTATAGTCTAGTCTATAGTCTAGTCTATAGTCTAGTCTATAGTCTAGTCTATAGTCTAGTCTATAGTCTAGTCTATAGTCTAGTCTATAGTCTAGTCTATAGTCTAGTCTATAGTCTAGTCTATAGTCTAGTCTATAGTCTAGTCTATAGTCTAGTCTATAGTCTAGTCTATAGTCTAGTCTATAGTCTAGTCTATAGTCAAGTCCTATAGTCTAGTCTAGTCTAGTCTATAGTCTAGTCCTATAGTCTAGTCTATAGTCTAGTCTATAGTCTAGTCTATAGTCTAGTCTATAGTCTAGTCTATAGTCTAGTCTATAGTCTAGTCTATAGTCTAGTCTATAGTCCCTAGTCTATAGTCTAGTCTATAGTCTAGTCTATAGTCTAGTCTTAGTCTAGTCTATAGTCTAGTCTATAGTCTAGTCTATAGTCGAGTCTATAGTCTAGTCTAAGTCTAGTCTAGTCTATAGTCTAGTCTATAGTCTAGTCTATAGTCTAGTCTATAGGCTAGTCTATAGTCTAGTCTATAGTCTAGTCTATAGTCTAGTCTATAGTCTAGTCTATAGTCTAGTCATAGTATAGTCTATAGTCTAGTCTATAGTCTAGTCTATAGTCTAGTCTATAGTCTAGTCTATAGTCTAGTCTATAGTCTAGTCTATAGTCTAGTCTATAGTCTAGTCTAGTCTAGTCTAGTCTATAGTCTAGTCTATAGTCCAGTCTATCGTCTATTTAAGTCTAGTCTAGTTTATGGTCTTGACTATAGTTTAGCCCAAAGTTTAATTTATAGTGTAACCTAGTCTTATCGATAGTATCGTCCATTGTATTGACTATATATAGTTTAGTCTAAAGTTTTGTTTTTGGGCTGAATGTTGTATATTCTGTAGTCATGAATAAAGTTCGGTCTAAAAGAGAACTTATCGAGTATTTTTTTATTAATAAAAATATACCAAAATAGTTTAAATGAAAAAGGTAATCTTCATGCGGAATATATTTTTTAATTAAAATGTTTACAAATTTAAGATTATTTTCAATTAAATCAATAACATGTTTATAATATTGCATCAATCAATAACATGTTTATAATATTAACATGTTTATAATATTAAATGTTACGTTAAATCAAAGTTAATGTTTCTAAGCAATTAATAACAATTAATCAATTGTCTAAACTTCCTATCTATCAACAGAGATCAATAAATAAAATCAATAATAAAATGCAAGATTGTCAATTAAGTTGTCGTGTGTTTTAGATTTGAACTGCAACAATTCAATGACAAATTTAACTGAAAAGAATTACCAGCATTATTTCCGGGCTTTTTATGTACAAAAGCGTGTAAATCTATAAGAAAAACTGTATTAGAATAAAGTTGTGTATTGATAACATTGATATATGTTTGATCTATGAGTTGTTTATCATCACTAATTAAAGTGTCGAGTACATAAAATTTTGGATAAAGAAAATTTATCTAAAACTGTCTTAATTATAGTCCATAGTGCATAGTCTATATACTTGACTATTGACAATTAAAACATATAAATTTGTAAGTACCTTTAAGCCCCCCCCAAAAACGGTATTATTTCAATTCAAGAGAATATTCTATCTAGCAAAAAATAAATCAATAAACTTTGGTGTATTTTTTTTGTCAATCAGTTAAATTAGTATTAATGAAATGGTTCATTAAATACTTAAACATGTGATTGATTTGAACTTGTAATGTATGCATTGTTTACTCTAGTTTACACACGATAATACGTCTGACATTAAATCAATTGCTGCAATCGACAGCATAGCTGAAGTAGATGATTGGAGGAAGAACAGTTTTTGTTTGTGTTGTCAAAAGGAAATTCCATAAAATAAACAAGCGTATCAATCTGGTTCAATGCATCAATAATTTTACAAACATTTTACATTTAACACCTCCATATAATGTTTACTGAGTGAACAAACAATCTTTTAAATCTAAAACAAAATTGTAAATTGCTAGAATTTATTTAAAATTCGAATAAATATCATTTAGATATTTCATTGTAATTGAAGAGAATAAAAGAAATATTTAAACATAAATGTTAATTGTAATGGTTTTCTTTTCATTGTACTCTTGTAGTCTAAATTAGTATTGCTAATAATACTGTCAACAACAATTTAAACATTTCATAAATCAAACTATTTATTTGTAATATTTGTTGTTGTAATTCAGCACTTCTAGTACAGCTACTGTAATATGCTTATTGACTGCCAATCGAAATGATTCAAGTAATAAACCTCATAGTACTATAGTATACTTGTAGGTATGTTATAATAACAACAATAATAAAAAAACAATAAAAAATGTTAATTGAACAAAATGTGTAAAACTGTTTTTTAATTTGTTGGTATTCTTTTGCTCTAACCATTCAAATATATTTATCTCAATTACTTACATGTCATTTCAATAATTATGTATTCGACACTTCAATTAGTGATGATAAACAACTCATAGATCAAACATACAAAATTATATTTATACACAACTTTACTCTAACAGATATATGATTATTCTGTTACAGTTTGTCTAATAGATTTGCACGGAAATAATGCTGGTAATTATTTTCAGTTGAATGTTGTCATTGAATTGTTGCAGTTCACATCTAAAACACGCGACAACTTAATTGACAATCTTGTATTTTATTATTGATTTTATTTACTGATCTCTCTTGATAGATAGGAAGTTTAGACAACTGATTAATTGTTATTAATTGATTAGAAATTTTAACTTTGATTTAACGTAATATTTTAAAGATTTATGATTTAATTGAAAATAATCTTAAATATGTATGTAAACATTCTAAATAAAAAAATATACTCCGCATGAAGATACCTTTTTCATTCAAACTATTTTGGTATATTTTTAAATAACAAAAATACTCGATAAGTTTTATTTTAGACCGAACTTTTTTCATGACTACGGAATATACAACAGTCAGCACTACACCAGACTACATATATATAGTCAATACAATGGACGATACTAACGATAAGATTAGGTTATACTATAAACTAAACTGTAGGCTAGACTATAGTCAAGACCATAAACTAGACTAGACTATAGACTAGACTATAGACTAGACTATAGACTAGTCTATAGACTAGTCTATAGACTAGACTATAGACTAGACTATAGACTAGACTATAGACTAGTCTATAGACTAGACTAGACTATAGACTAGACTATAGACTAGACTATAGACTAGACTATAGACTAGACTATAGACTAGCTATAGACTAGACTATAGACTAGACTATAG